CTCCTTTCGGCAACGCTTCTCTACCCCCTCCCTCCCTCCTAGATCTCCCTCCCCCTCCCTCCCTCCTAGATCTCCCTCCCCTTCTTCTTCGTAGTCCATCTCACGTGCCGGTCTATCGCTTGAGGGGGGCATTACATTCGGCTTTGTTGTCGGTGTCCGGTGTGGCTCGCTGCACTGTCGTGTCTGCAGTTGCTCTGCCCATTACGTGTCATTAGACGAGCATTCATCACTACAACCTGTTACGGGTAGTCGGCCGGTTGCTGGGGTGGAGGGCGATGGAGGGAGGGAGGGATGGCTGATGGGCGGCGAGCGTCGAATTATGTCATTCGCTGTAAAGCGCGGTGCGAGTCGCTCACTGCTGTATCAGGTATGTAGCGGCTACGACGATCACGCACGCACGCACGCACACTCAGCATGCACGCACGCACGTGCGCAGACACCCACACACACACACACACGCACGCTACACACACACGCTACACACACACACACACACCGCACGCACGCACGCTACACACGCACGCACGCACGCACGCTACACACACACACACACACGCGCGCGCGCGCAGACACCAACCCCCACACGCACACGCACACGCACCCACATTCGTATATACAAACGATTAGTGAACTTATTACAAACCAGGTAAGCGGGACAGACAGACAGACAGACAGACAAGCAGACAGGCGGGCAGGCTAGGGGAGGAGGGGGAAGCGAGACGTGTAGGTAGATAGCTGTAACAAACAGCTCTGCATTGTACGCAAAGTGCTCTCCTACTAGGCAAATTCAACTGCGCAATTTAATCTGCATCATGCGCAGTCAGATGGCCTGCCTACATTTACATCCTCATGTATACATATAAGCATATATATATATATATATATGTAGTATATTCATGTATCTATATGTAGCTCTTGATGTATATGTATTATGTAGCTGTCGATCATAGATTATAGATGTTGATCATACATGTTGTTAAATGGGGGGGGGGGTTGATTATGCTTAGATTTCTCTGACCTCGGCAACCTGTCGGGCCGATGACCTGAGATGGGGAGTCTCTGTTAGTGTAGGTGACGTCTAAGCTGGCGAATGAATGCCAGGTCTCTGGTAATTATCCATAGGACTGTGTTTCTATGCAAGTACGTGTATGTATAATATGTGATATACATGTATTATAATGTTTTTATATATTATGTATTAAAATATATATAATATAGTAACGTTTCCCCTTTTGTTGTTGGTTAATCAGACCGTGGTCGACCCAGGGGGGTGACACGCAGGGTCTTGTACCTCGACTGCCAGGCAGGTTCCCTTATGACCAACCACGACAGTGACAGAAAGAGCAACACAGAATAAGGCACTATAATGTGCCTATTAAACACCAGCCAATTACAATAGTATTCACAAAGAATCCACGACAATACAGTCGTAATCCACGATGTGGGCGCTTATGGCAAACAGTTAACGTTATCTGTGGACGGTGCGCAGTTACCTGCGCATCCACATGATACAAGAAGCTAACTAGCTGAGCTTAAGGCTCACACTTGGCAGTAACAATACAATTCAATGCAGTACCTGTATTCAATGCAGTATGCTTACGCCTTGTAGCTCGTTGTGCCCGTGGTCTTGGCCATACGTTGGTGCGTTGTGAACAGCTGCACTATGTCGACAACTGTCATATGTCCCCCTTAAATACTCGCCAGCCCAGCGTGGCTTTGCACAGAGTACACACGAATTGTGCACGTGCTCACGTCTTGGGGAGAGCTCAAGGATGCCTCAATGAAGCTCTGCGAAGCTACCACGCGTGTTTAGGCTGAAGCTGCCAACCTCCACGTCAGCTATGGTAACTACTGGACGTGCCGAGGTCGCGTAGAGCTTCACGCACACACAGTTGTTATGATGTTACGTACTTATTTCCCCCAGACGTGCGTATAAGTGCGCGGGCATACACGGCAGGACCCCAACATCGTTACAATAGATAACTATGGCATAGGGGATCAGAATAGAGGGTATGGGAGTTTCATTAAGCTTTGATTTCTCGGACCACTGACACGTCCCGGCATCCCATCAGGCCGATGACCTAAGATGGAGACCCTCAGTGTTAGACTAGGTGTCGTCTGAGCTAGTGAATGAATGTACATAAAGGAGACATCTTCCATCTCGGGTCATTATCCTCGGCACTGTGTGTCTGTGTTGCAAGCTGCTTCCCCCATCACCCATCTGAAGACGCTGATGATGAGATTAGTGATAGTAATGATGATGACTATGATGTTAATGATGATGTGATCACGATGTAAAGTTTGATACGCGTAGTGATTGAACGAGTTTAATGATACCCGCGTGTCACCTCATACTTTCTCTCTCTTACCATCACACTTTCTCTCTGTTACCACCACACCTCACACTTTTTCTCGGTCACTAGACCTCCCACGTTTCTCGATTGCCACCTCACATCAAACTATACATGGATCACACAACACCTCTGCAGCAGCAGCAGCAGCTACAACAGTCGCAGCAGCAGCAGCATCAGTAGCAGCAGCAGTAGCAGCAGGAGCAGCAGCAGTAGCAGCATCAACAACAGTCGCAGCAGTCGCAGCAGCAGCAGCAGCAGCAGTAGCAGCAGCAGCAGCAGCAGCAGCAGTAGCAGCAGCAGCAGCAGTAGCGGCAGCAGTAGCAGTAGCAGCAGTCGCAGCAGCAGCAGCAGCAGCAGCAACAACAACAACAACAGTAGCAGCAGTCGCAGCAGCAGCAGCAGCAGGCAACAGTAGCAGCATCAACAACAGTAGCAGCAGTAGCAGTAGCAGCAGTAGCAGTAGCAGCAGCAGCAGGAGCAGCAGCAGTAGCAGCAGCAGTAGCAGCAGTCGCAGCAGCAGCAGCAGCAGGCAACAGTAGCAGCATCAACAACAGTAGCAGCAGTAGCAGTAGCAGCAGTAGCAGTAGCAGCAGCAGCAGGAGCAGCAGCAGTAGCAGCAGCAGTAGCAGCAGTCGCAGCAGCAGCAGCAGTAGCAGCAGCAGTAGCAGCAGTCGCAGCAGCAGCAGCAGTAGCA